GTATAGTTTGTCATATACATTATACTTATCATACAGAATTTTTAACTTAATTATTGACAATTTGTTAGAATTTGATTGGTATTAAAACTGTATATAATTTATTAAATTAATATTGATAGCATTTAATTAAATATTTATATTATTTAGTGGAATATTTCACTTTATAAATTATTTAAATTTATTTAAACATATAATTTTATTAAATAATTGCATTATAATTTTATTAATTTAATTTTACTATATTTTTCACTAAAATAGTTATTTAATTACCTGCAAAGATTGTAATGATCCCAGGGTTGTGAACAAGGGTGAATACTATTTTTAGGTTGGCACTATACAGCACCACCCTGCACCAGCTGCACCACTGCACCACCAAATATTGGTCATTATCAATATAACTCGATTGCATCACTATATTGTAATTTTATAAATACCAATTTGATTATATTTTAGAAAAACAATCTCAAATATTAAAACAATATATTTAAATGTTTTAATTTTCTATATGCGATATTTTCATAGAGAAGTACAATTTAACATATTAAATAAATAGAAATAATATTTTTAGACTTTGAATATATTACATTATATGTATTATTATAAACTTAATAATTAACGAGATTAAATGGAAATCATAACAAAAAATTTATAAATTAAAGTTTAAGTTTTGAAATCATAATATTGATTTATAAAATTTTAAAATTTTGCTGTAAAATAATCCTTATTACAATCTATATTTTGATAGTTATGTTATGGTGGTGCATTCGAGTTATGTTGATACTGACCAATATTTGGTGGTGCAGTGGTGCAGCTGGTGCAGGGTGGTGCTGTATAGTGCCAACCCTATTTTTATGCAAAATAAATACTAAAAACTTATATGTATTGCACACTTTTATTAACCTTTTAATAATAAACTTATCAATAAATATTGTCATTATATAACTATATAAACTAATATACAGTTTCCATTATATTTTATAAAATAATTTCTATAAAAATAACATCATAAAAATAAAATTAATGAAATATTAACTAATCATGTGTTTTCTTCGCAAACCCATTGAAAACAATAAGCAGATTATCATGGTCTGTTAACTGGTCAAATACATCCACATCTAACACAATATTATGTATCTGTAATCGGTTACATAACATTTGATTAAATAATTATAACTTTATTAATTTAATTCCTACCATATATTTTATTAAAATTGTTATCTTTATTTTAAGCATGTAAATTTACCAGAAAATTATCATGGTCGGTTAAGTGGTTGAGTTTATTCCTATTATAACTATTATAACTTTATTAATTTAATTTTAACATACTTTACACATGTATCTGATATATTGTGAATAAGCATAATTAGTGCCAATATAACGTTTTGTTATTTATATAAATAATTAAATATAATTTCATTTTTGGTTTGTAATAACCTGTAAATAATATTATAGCTATTTTTATGTGATAGCTTAAGATAAGATTAATTAGATCGTGATTAATTGAGAGTACGGGATATACTTTGTTGAAGTACAAATTTTGTTTTATTCTCAATCAATAAAACTTATTTTATATTGTTGGAATTTCTAACTTAAAAATATGTTGTTCAGATCTTATTAAATTTTCATTAAATTAATATATTACACATGCATCATAAATTACATAATAATAATATTTTTTATTTACTACACATATGAATAAAATACACCAATTTTATATAATTAACGTTAATGAATAAACATATTTAAGCTATTTGTGTTAAATTTACCAATAGTTTTTGAACTAGCCTAGTTTTATTTTAAATGTAATTACTAAATCAAAAAATTATTGACAATAATATCGAAACTGTAATTTTGATTTATTAATTTATTTTATTTTTAATGTCTTTAATTAAAGTTTTAAATATTTTTATTTGTTATATTTATACTAGTTGATACTTTTAAATTATCTATAATAACGACTGTATATAACGTTTTAAATAATTTATTGTACCAAATAAACTAATTTGTTGTAGTTTTAATTTTATTTAAAAATTTAATGTCAATTATAAATAATTTATTCTGTAAATAATTTTTAAAAATATATTTGTTTATTAATAAACACAATTTATTTAACTAAGTGGTTTAATATCACGATCTATATTTTCATTTATATATTATTTTAATTTGTAATATTTTATAAATTAAAAACAGCAAAAAACATTTAACAAGTGTTAATTTAAGATAGATATTTTTTTTGTATTTATAATTTATTGTATAGGCGATCAAACAATTTAAAAAATAAATGTTACCTAATAAAAAATTATATAAATGACTATAACATATGAGATATTTTTAAAAGATATTTTGTGTTAAAACTGTAATTGATATTAAAAGTATATTTGTTGCCAGTAAAGCAAATAGCTATTTAAAATTAATGGGACATGGGTAAAAGAATGAGAAATTATTTTATTATATCAATACAATATTAATCTAAATGAAAATATGATTTTGCAAACCATATTAGTAAAATATTATTTTAATTGTATCTTATTTATAATACTAACATATTTGATAATTAATAATCAGAGAAACCTTGTAAAAAAGTGAATTGTTGCTATTATTAAATTTACATATTTTATTGACATTCACTCATCACTAGACAATAGGCGGAACCAATAATGAAGGTAAAATTGCTTCTAGGAAATATTACCTTATGGTTAAAACACATACAAACACTTTCGCAATTTCATGAATGTAAAATAATTATAAATAAACACAAATTGCATCCCAATATTTAGTTTGGGAAAGTTTAATGCAATTGTCTTTACCATTGAAATTTTATTTTACTATGTATAATACATTATGGTAATTATTTAATATTAAATATTTAAGTATATTGATTGGCAAATTGCTTATGATTCAAACTTACCTTGAATTTTATTTTATATATAAGAACATTGACAATGAATTGATCAATTTGCATTTTAAAATTCATACCAGTATGTTTTTACTAGTTACAATACCAGCATAATGCGTTCAATGATACAATCGTGTTATATTATTTAGGATATTGTGATTTTTCATTAATTAACTTTTCTTATTTGTGTTCACCATAATGTAAATTAATTGTATTTTACTAATCTTTTTGGCATAGATGCCACATTTCAATGTTTTAAATTATCATGTTTAAATATTTAATTTTAATTGTGTTTATTTTGCTGTTCAAAAACTGTTCCGGAGGTAAAAGCCTTAGAAAAAGTAAATTTTAAACTAATTTTCCCAAATAATTTACATAACATCTAATAATAACAAATAAAAATATGGTAAATTAATTATCATTCAAAATACAGGATTTATTAATAAACGCTATTACTATGAATACGACAACGAGGTGCTAAAGGTACTTATAAATTGCAATTAATTACTAACTAAAACTAAAACACCCTATTAAAAAACCCTCAGCAAAGAGTACCCGACTATCCAATACACAAAATATTTGCCAATCGGGTCAGTAGTCGTCAGATGTCCGGCGCACCCGTACTGGACAGCGAACTAATGTCGGTGTTCGAAGCGGCCAGATGGTCACCCTCCCATTATAACGTACAAGAGTGGCGATTCATCTATGCCAAACGTGACACAGCTAATTGGCAGTCATTCATGAACCTACTTGTGCCCAAAAATCAGGCCAACTGTGCCAACGCGTCGGTACTGATCATTGTTGTGTCCGACAAGTATATGGTAAGCATATTACTTAAAATTAAAATTAAAAAGTAAATTAAAAATTAAAGTAACTTGACCAAAATTATATGTGAAACAAATATGTTATTTAAAATTATTTGTTATATTTTTCATAAGTGATAAAAAAATTACAAAATATTACAAATACATAATAAAATAAACTTTTTGTGACTATAGGTATACAAAAATCGCAAACAATACATAGAAAGTCATAGCCTGGACGCCGGGGCCGCGTGGATGGCACTCGCACTGGAGGCCACGGCCCGGGGTTTGGCCGTATTGCCCATGAAGGGCTTTGACCATGAACATGTGGCCCAGACTATTGGCCTAGATGTCGATAAATATAGTGTAGATTTAATGATTGCGCTAGGTAGAAAAGTGCCCAAGTCGCCCCAGAGGGTGTCGGTGCCGCTCGGATTAACACAACGATTACCTGTGAATAAGTTTGCTTTTGAGGGCCGTATGCCCGATGAGGTGCTCGAGCCCGTGCCCTTCAAAAAGACCGAGGGCCTTTTAAGGGCTTAATTGAGCGTGGTTAATTATAGTGACTATTATAATAAATTATTTTTATTTATGAAACCAATCATCCAATTAGTTATTTATTTAAATTATTTGCATTTACAATAAACATATTGTCCACAAAACTTCTATTTAGCAAGGACACTTTTTTTGTTGTTGTTTAAATGCATAAACATATAGGCAAATAATTTATTTCATGATCATTTTAATATTTATTGTAAATGTGCTATTGTTTAACACACGTTAATCTCAATGAATGAACAAAAACATAATGAATTAAAAACTAATAATTACAAAATTAAAATTATAAAACTACATAGTACAAGCATGTCTTACTAACATAATTTACATAGCTTTCCGGGGTCATTGATTGTGGCACACAATAATCAGTTAATTATGTTAATTAATTACAAACATGTACATGTGCGTGGTGAAACTATTTTTGCGTGACATTAACGGTTTCCGGCCCATCAGTATATGCTGTTTGTATTGGTATATAAAATGAGTAAAATTGGCAAAAATTTCTGCATATAAATGCAAAACTTGTAATTTTATTAAAATTTTATAATAATAAATATTTATAAAATTAATAAAAGTCAATTAAAACTAGATAATGCGTTATTTAACTAACCTATGCTTTTGTGCGCTAATCGTTGGCATAATATGCCGTAAGTATTACTTAATAAATACATTTATAATCAAACAATGTATGCACTAAAATAACTATACTATGTTTCACCCCCTACTTAACCTGTTTAGCACCGATGCCGGGCAAACCCCAGTTGCCGGGAGTGGGCGCGTACCCAGACATACGTGGTCGTGGCATCAACTATGGTTGCTCTAACTCATTTTGCTGGGCCCGATGCACTGGGCTCGGGCTCGGCTTTTTCCAAAATGAATGGTGTTATACGACTGAAGGCTATTCCCTGGACTTCCGGTACGTGAGCTGTAAGGATGACGACCAGTGCAAACCCGATTGGAGTTGTGCTGGATTTTGTACCATGTAAGGTACATTTTATTTTAATCACTGGTCAATTTTCTTTGGTATTAATTGTGCGTGTGTGTGTTTGTAATAGTATTTTATTTATTGTTCAATTAAATTATAATAAATGGAAATTGTTTATTTATTTTAATGTTGCAAATAAATTATTAATATTCTGAATGTAATTTTATTATTTATAACTTTAAGACTAGTTTATTATTTATTTATTATTTATTATGCATTCATTTGCAAAACTATTAATGAAATAAAATTAAACATGAAATTATAAATTAACTTTTATTTAAAAGTGTTTTATTTATTTTTCATAAAAATCGCGATTATCATAATTAGTGTGCATTTATCAATTTTAATTAATAAATAAATAAAAGTGCTAATTAAACAAAATCAAAAATTACATTGAACACATTCCAGCACAATTATAAGTGCTCTTACAATCGCTATCAAAATTGCAACTAATATAACCATAGTCCATGGATGTGCCCCTGGTCGTATAGCACCATTCGGTTCGGATCAAGTTGAGTCCAAAAAACGCGCACCTGGCCCAACAATAGCCATTCACGTGACAGCCATAGTGATCGCCACGACCTACCAAGCTCATTTGCGCTTGCCATCCAGGTGCTAATGTTAAACGTATGGTAAATTAGAAATGTTAACTATTAATTAATGTTATATTTTAGTTATACTTACGGCAAACAATGCCTGTGATAAGCATAGCGATGCAAAATACTGATAACATGTGCATTTTCAAGCTATTTTACTGATTATGGTGATTTTGCAGAAATTAATTTAGCTTAATTAATTAATTTTTTGCATAAACTCTTATATAGTTTAAAAGTTGGGTCCGTTTTTTGGGTTTGCATTGAATACTGACTGACCTATTGATTGATAAACACATTTATATTACATTTACATCGGAAATAGTTTATAATCACAATTGTTTAATAATCTATTAAAACATAAACATATAAAACTATATTAATGTTTTTGATCCCGGAATTTATCCATAAAAATAACGTTGCAATAAATATTTTAATTGTTTTCATTATTATATTAGGGTATAAATAAAGGATTAGATTATAAGTGAAAGTGTAGCTATTTTTATAAATATATTTTTAAATAATAATTATGATAAGTTAGCTTGTTATTAAATATTTACATAATTAATTATGGATATTAATTAAATAAACTTTTCACTGGTATGCTTAAGGTCATTATCAACATTATTTATATAGAACATGGGCAATTTAATGAATATTATTTTAGTTTTATATTTTTAAGTATTTTTCTTAAATATTTATAATTTATAGAAAATGTATTAATTAAGATAAATTAGCCTAATCATTAAAATTGAAATTTTAGTAATCATGATTAAACTACATAATATGCTTTTTTAAAAACTACAAAAATCTATTTAATTAATTAGATAAAAATCATAAAATCATGTTAGTAATCATGTTGCTATTCAATAACACCATGTACCACTTAAATAATTTATAACATTTATAATTTATAGTTATATTATTTAAAATTATTAAGAAATAAAATTAAGACCATTTAAATAAATTTTAAATTCATAGCTTAATTAGTAAAATAAAAATTTATTAAAAACTATTTATAATAAAAAGCGGTTAAAATGTTTTAAAGAGATAAAAATTAAGTAATTGATTGAAAATCTAATGATTTATTTTTTTTATTGCAATAACAAACAACCTAAACTATTTAAATTTTGTTTATTTAATAGATCATGTGAATTTTCCATTAACTTGCATAGTTAATAGTAAATGGTAGGCGTACGTTAAGTGTTATCAAGTGGGTAAATTTAAAAAACCTTACAATGCACAATTGAAATCAATGCATACTTGACAATATAAATTGTGTTATGATATAATATTGGTAAAATCCAACAAAGTATTACACTATCTAGCTAGATTAAAAACCCGATCAATCAATAGATTTTATTTTTTTAAAATAATGCAATAAGCTAATTAAAATTATTATGCCTAACAAATAGTAAGTAAATTCTAATGCATATAATGAGGTAAAATACTCGCCAAAAAATTAATCACGGTGACATTGAAATTGCTATTAATTTTTAGTTTTGTTTCATGTGTGTTAAAAGCTGTTGTAATATTATTGTGCATAGCTAGCGTGTCTGTGAATTTTACTTTCCCTAATATATTTAATTTATACATATGTATATTGAATATAATATAAATAAATTAATATACAAAGCTAAGTTTCCTTTGGGAAAAATCAGTTATGCCTATATGGCAAAAAATAGACATTAATTTTTAACCTTAAGCGTTTTGAATAACAATTTTATCATTTTGTTTGACATTTTTGTTTTGTTGACAATATTCACCACTTATTGATGTTTAACTTATAATTAAAAGTTTAATTTATTTTTTAGTTAATTTGTGGCTTAAGTAGTGATAACTTATAATAATTTTTAATTATATAATTTAATACATAAACTAAACTATTTGTTTGTTTGTGAAAGTTATTAAATATTTATAGTGAACGATTGTGTTAACTATAAAACAATAAAGTTTAATGGATTACAAATATAATTAATAAATCAATACAATGGCCATTGGATTACATTATTTACCCAGATTTATTGCCGTCAATATCATTACATTTCCTATAATACTGTATGTTATTTAAAAAAACAAATTAGTCAAATTAACTAAAATTTAACCTTTTAAAATAAGATTAAGTTAAAAAAATTCCAAGTAAAAAATTTAGTTAAACTTAATCTAGATAAAACCAAAAATACTACATTATATTTAAACTATAAATTACTAACAATTTTGCAAAAAATAACAATTACTAATAATTATTGCATTTATACCAACCCTAAACAGATGGACAATCGCCACATGCATGGGTCACATCCAGCCCTACCTGCCATACGTGTCGGACTTGGGTGTAATCGCACCGGAAGCGGCGCTATTCTCGCTATTCATGAACATCGGGGCCATTTTGATCACAACATTCGCATACATCCGCTACCAATGCAACAAAACATACTCACAAACCAACAAAGCCCTACCGCCAGAGCACAGGGAGGCTATCGTACGGCTGAACCGGCGATCGCTGTGCGCCGGGCTATGTATGGCCACCGGGTTTGCAATTGTTGGCAACTTTCGTAACGCCGAGGGCGTAGTCATACAGTCTGTACACAATGTCGGCGCAGTCACCGGGTTTGTGGGCACCGTTACCGACATGGCCTGTCAGAGCCTAGTGGCCCGGCGTATGGCTATGGGTAGGGTCGCCAGGTTGAGAGCCTGGTTAGCTACAGGTGCCCTACTGTTGGCCGTCACGTATAACGCGCTGTCTATCTTGTCGTTTGTGTTACTGCCCGACGCCTTACAAGATGTTAATACTAGGTTAATGTGGGCCAGTAGTCAGCCCGGGTATATACCACACGTGATGTCTACCACGTTGGAGTGGGTGTTGATATTTATGATCTGCCCCTATATATTGTCGTTTGTGGATCAGTTTAAACAGTATGAACTTGCTGATTGTTTGCTAAACCATCGCGATGTTAATGATAATGTTAGCTCAAGTGAGGGCTTGTATAGGGAGAGACGACTGACTGATAGGGTTGGGTAGTTTTGTCAAAGTGTTTTTAAAACTAGGTCTGGCTATTCATAATATTGTAAGTAATATAATAAATATGTAGTGGTTTTTTGCATTTTTTAATTTAATAGTATCATGCTCATAATTAATAAGTGTAATTTATATTATGTGACATATTAAAATTATTATTGTTTAATAAAATTATTACGTAAAATTTTAATTAAATTTATTTTTTTAAAAATAAATACAATTAATTTAACATACAAAAACATTTTTAATTTCTATTAAGTTATAAGCGACTTATAATGAAAATTAAACAAAAATGTTCATAGTCTACAAAGATTATTTTTGTTAAATAAACATCATTGATTAATTATTTGATAAGTTATTAAATGTAGCCTTTATTTAGTGAAAAACTATTTACATTATGGACAGATTTATACAATAACTTAATATTATCGTAATGCTATACTGACATAGTCTATATGTACAAATATTTATAACATATAGTTAAAAATTTTATGTTTAAAAATAAATGCTCAATGTGATTTATATTTGTTCACATATTTATAAATTGGAATATATTTTTATAAATTAATTTAATTATCTTTTATAAAACTATTTTTATTAAATATTCAACATGTTTAATAAATTACATTATTTACCAATTCTAATGGCAATCATTATAATTGTATTTCCATTTATTTTGTAAGTAATTTTTATTTCAATAAACAATTTAAATAAATTTTTAACTTAATTTAACATTTTAACGTAATATAATTAATAAATTATTTTATAAACTTTTAACAAAAGTTTATTTTCAATTGTGATCAAAAATCTGCAAAAAAATAAGATTTTAACATTTCACAAAAAGTCTATTTTTCGTAAAAATGAATTGCTGTTAGAATTAATTATAATATTATTATTAAAATTATATATTAATTAATTTCATTTATTGCGTTAAAATTATAATAAACAAACTCAAACAATTATACCAATTGCTGCACAGCCCAATTACTTTGCGTTACTAACAAATCACATAGTTATAAACTTATATAAATATATTTTTACAGTTTCTACATTAAATTATATTTAAATTTAAAAATAACTAATTTACACATTACACAAACTACCTAGATGGGGACTGGCGCTATGGCAGGGTCACATCTATCCATTTCTACCCTACGTCAGCGACATTGGTGTTTTACCCCCGGAGGCGTCCCTATTCGGTGTGATCATGAACCTTGGCGCCATCATGATCATCGCGTTTACCATCATTAGATACGAATCCACAAAGACCTACATTCATTTACATCACCCCACTCTCGATGACAATATTAGTGACAACAACAACAACAATGATTATGAAAACGAGCTAAAAATAGTCAACAAACGGTCGCTGAGGTCAGGCCTGTGTATTGCCGGCGGATTCGTTATGGTTGGCAACTTTAGGGCCGCCGAGACTACGCTAGTGTTGGCCGTGCACTCAGTCGGGGCGAGCTTTGCGTTCATAAGCCTAGTGTGCGATATGTGTTATCAACGGACGGCAGCCCTGGAGATGGGCAACGGAAGGGCCGCTAGGGTTAGGAAATGGTTGGCCATATTATCGGTGATATTACTCGTGTCGTGTGTGGGCTGTGCATTGTGGTCGGGCGCTTTATACCCGGCGGCAGCGCATACCGAGAGTAGACTGTTGTGGGACACCCGTAGGCCAGGGTTTGTGCCGCACGTGATATCTACCACACTGGAGTGGTTACTGATATTCTTGTTGTGTCCGTATTTTTTGACATTTGTCCGGGAATTTCGGGAATATTCCCTGTCTAGCCATTTGGTTAGTTTGAAGCCTATGCCCGACAGTACTATGCTTTAAATGTGTTAAATAATTAATTAATGTTTGTTTGTTGTGTTGTAATTATTAATTTTAAAATTAATTTAAGTTCAATTTTAAATATAATTTTATGAATAATAATAATAATGACATAAATATGATAAAAATAAATAAATAATTTTATCAAAAGTAAGTACTGGAACTTTATTTGATCCAACAAATGATTAAAAAAAATAAAATAAACGTTAACATTTAAGACACGGCAATAATAAATTATTGATAATTAAATGCAGTGAACAAATCTGACCAACATCGATAGCATTTAATTCTTGGCATGAATAGTATTATTAATCCAGGTAATATAATAGCCATCAATCAACTTGGTGTACACCTCAAACTTGACTGTAGGATATACAGCCTTTTTTCTACCCCAGGAAGCGATGGCTGACAAGAAATGAGTTGTACCATCATAGTTATCATCGGGACAGGTTATGGGCGCCCCGTTATTACCCTCATATATCGCCTTATTCGAGCAAAACATAACTGGCTCTTTGAAAAGCTTATGGTAAACTTTTTCACAATCAGTGGCTTCGGCCATGTGAATTGAATCTTTTACTAAGGTCCTGGCTTTATCAGGAACTTGTTCATCTAGCGGCCCGTAGTTATGTAATAGGCAATCAGTGGTCACTTTGACCTGGGACCGATCTTCCGGCCCTGTCCCGAAGTCGGATAAGCATATGGCCCTTACTTTTTCATCGTTATAGTGCAACTGTAGACCGCTTTTTAGCTTGATTAAAGCTAGGTCGTACCCGGCGCCCAGGGTTGGGTTGTATTCAGGCGATTTTACTATCTAAATAGGTTTGCAAAAACATACGATTAGTTTTTGTTTATTATTATAGCTTATTGTAATATTTTAGTAAGTGCACATTTTGTTAATTTATAAGTTTATGCTAGCACAAATAATTAAAGTATTTTACTTATTTAGCGTATATAATAATGACTGATTATAATGTATTTAGATAATCATGAAAGGTTACTTTTGTATAAATTGTGTTGAACTACAAGCGGATATCCTAATTAAATAAAATTTATTTGTATAATAAAAATAATAATATATTTACTTTATCCACTTGATAGAATTTCTCAGGTAAGTTTACCATTTTTATAGCATATTGACTATTCTTTAAAGGTAGACAACTGGCCGCACCCAACAGCCAATTGTCGGATATAATGCTGGCCATACACTGGTTGTCCTTATATTTTTCTTTTTCGGGCAGTTTGTCGGCATCAGGTTTAAGCCGCCATACCTGTGCCAACCAACCGTATTCGGACACACCATCTTTGGGAACTTGTTTATACGGTTGACCGCAGTTATCGAAACTCTCTATTATTTCACATGATATGAATTGAATCAGCGTGGTAATTAGCACGAATTTAATTATGATGAACATGGTTTATAAATGGTGGTATTTAATTGTGTGTTTGTATGTTTGCTCATTTGTGTAACTATTAGCGTATAATAAGGTATATTAGTTGCACAAGTATGTGACATTTAAGTAGTCAAATCAACTTGATAACTATTATAACAATACAGGATTTCTTAATAGAGATATGACTTTTGAGTGATAAGTTTTTATTCTAGCTTAATACTTATTATGTGTGATTAATACCTGGAATTATTTTTATTGTTTGTAATTTTGAAAGTAATTATTTTATTAGTTGGAAACAATTGTATTTATAGAGATATGATTTTATTTCCAATGTTGACATTTTAAAACTTGTTTAATAAACTTTTAACAATTATGTTTAATGTTACATTAATTGAAATTTTTCAATAATAAAATTTTAAAACATTTGACAACTTTTAATATTTATTATTAAAATAAATTTTGGTACAAACACCTTATATATAATAGTTAAAATTAATTTTTATCCTGGATAATTAATCTATGATAACTACCACTTTCATAGATTAGTCTTATTGGTTTTATTGGCTTTATATATTGTAATAATCAATTCATGGTACATTTGCTACTTTAAGTGCATAGGTGCATAAAAACGTATTTTTAATATTTTTATATGTAACTCATTAAAAATGTTAAATACTGCTGAAATAGGATAACCACATATTTCATATACTAGCTATTTGTTAGTTTAGTTTTTAGCTAACAGAATATGTAAGATCAATTTTTTCATTTACACATGTAAAATATTAATATTTATCAATAATTATATTATAATAAATTATTATATTTAAATTCATATTTTTATCACAAGTGAACATTATGGACAATTGCAACTAATAAAAAGTTATATAATAATTTGTGGTTATTTTCAAAATGCACGTTATTAAATATTTAATAGATATGTGGATAGGCTACGGACAAATGAGCATGTACTGTAATTGTTTGTACTAATAACAACCAGAAAATGCCAAATAGACAATTCTTAATTCATAGAATTTGTATGTTTAAATATTTAATCAAATTTTCAAATAGGGTAACAGTTTTTGAGTGACTTGAAAATATTGGGCATAATCTAGTTATTAATCTAGTTGACTTGCTAGAGACAACAATAATAATTTTTAACTATTGTATTTTTAATTTCAATTTTTACATTTTAAATATTTAAAATAACTTATAATTTATAATAAAGTAATAAATAGTATACGTTCAAAATTAAACAAGTTTCAAAATACTTTATACAACCCACCCCCAAAATTAAACATTACATAAAAATATTTAATATAATTAATACATAAATAATATTATTCATAAGATTAACTATTTATTTGTATCATTAGTACTATTTACTTATCACAATGTTTTGTGGCAAGCATGAAAATATAAAATAACTATAGAAATTGCAGATATAAAACAATCAAGATTAATTTTTCACATATTTAGGGAATATTTTCCCAGTTTATGCACAATTAACAATAGGATAACTTAATAGCTCTTATAATGCACTGTATAAGGTTGTAATGTTTTTCACATGACCATGTTTATTTCTACCCCACACGAAACACAGATAATATTGGGTTCAAAGTCATTGCTATAATATCTATATTGTTTATTTCAATGCAATTAAAAATTTGCAGTGATTTATCCGGGTACATTATTAGTTTTAGTTATACCAAGGTAAGTATTATACTCATTTATTATCTATTATTTGAATCAATTTAAATAATTTAAAATTTAAAGAAATGATCTAAAGAAATGATCTTTATAATAAATCTACATTATATGATTAGCACATTATGGAATAAACGGATCTAGTTTGATGTTATTGTTTCAAAATGTCACAGTTATCTTTATACAGGAATTAAAAATTTAGTGTTAATTTTACATTTATATATTTTACTATGAATTAAAAATATAATAAAGGATACATGATCTTGTTTGTTTTAAATATCATACGTTGCACAAAAAATAAACTGACAATTTCCCAACAATTAGGTAAATATAAAACAATGCATAGAATATACTGCGAAAAGGGTTTATGAAAGTCAATCATAACATGAAATACCTGTGAAATTGATAAATAAAAAAACGTCAAGCTCAAATACAATAATATAAATAGTGCAAAACAAGGCATATGACCAAGTTAATCTTACTATACGATCAGCAAATTCACTTGAAATACGTGCCCAGATTATCGGGGTATGTCACTTGCACTGTGCAAAAAATTGTATATAAACAATGCCAATTAACCACCATAAATCAATCAATACCAAACAGTATTGACTATTCAATTGAGCAAAACTGATCATGATTGCCTTACTAACAATTACCCTATTGGTAGCCTCGGCGGCGGCTGTGCCCGTACAACAGTCCGAGATCGAGACCGAATGGATGGCATTTAAGGTATGCAAAAGTTACATGTGCTTACATGCAACATTCTCGCTTAAACCAGCTAAGCACAATAAAATAATAATTAAATTTTTACCTAAATGCAGCTAAAATTCCGTAACGGTGGCGCTTTTGGTGACGACGAAATGCGCAGGGACATTTTCGAGAGCACCTACCGATACGTGGTGGCCCACAACGCCGAGGCCGACCAGGGGCTGCACACCTACCGGGTGGGCATCAATCAGTTCGCCGACATGACCGATGA